ATCTCACCAGAAAAGAAAACATAAAACGAAATTCGAAGCGTTGCGTGTTTCTGCAGAGGCCTGCTCTACAACCGCAGGGTCATCGTGGGTTAGGAGCTTTTTCAGCGCCGTCAAAGCTCCAGCCTGTTCAATGAAATGCTGTCTCGCACAGTCTCATGAAAAGGAAAAAGAGAAACAATGACAGGGAGGAAAGGGAGGAAAGGGAAGAAAGGGAGGAAAGGGAGGACAACGGCAGTAGCAGCAACGAGAAAAATGCGTACTGCTCTGCCTCCATCAAGTGCACTCTCAGGTTGTTGTCGCCTTACTTTGACCACGCATCAGGATGACACCAACAAATGTAGGAAGTCTAAGTCTGAGTTCCCTGCAGCATATCAAAGCTACAGCAGCAGCAGCCTCACTTCTGATTGTTGCAGGAAATTTCAAGAAGATACAACTTTCTCGCCTGCAAGATTCCTTCGGCAGAGCTGGACAAAAGACCAATCACTCCTGTCCTGAGTCAATCTTGGACATGCTCTGATATCTTGAAGCCTTGCACAGACCTGTGGCAGACTTGAAATGTTTCAGCCTTCCAAGTTCTGCTTGAATCCAGCGGCACTGTCTCTGGCGACTCGACAACCGCCAGCACGCGTGGCATTCGTTCCTGCGCGAACCGTCCACCCGAACGACACTAGCCATGATGAGCAATCACGAGCAATCCATTGAACTGAAACCCAACAACTCAGGTCAAGAAACATCTAGCATTCCAGAACCAAAACGGAGACTGCATAAGACTACATAGGACATAGGACTGCAGCTTGTCCAGGATCATGCCTACTTTACAATCCCTTTACAACCTCCACTTGTCTAAAACCTGGCCGCTGACAAGGTGGAAGTAAAGCTGTACTGTTTGACTCCATTGGTCTGCTTGAATCTTCTGGCCTACAAACATTCACGTACCAACCTGCCCTTTAAAAGCTCGCTCGACATGGCTGTGCAATTTCTGGCATGTTCGGCACGTTGAAGTCACTCTAGACTCTAGTCTATGATGCTATGATGTTCTAAATTCACTCCAGGCCTGAACTGACTCTCCCTCAAGGATTGATGCCAGCAGTTGACACAGCCTGCTTGGCTCCACTTTCTTCGTGCAAAGGTGAGTTGCAGTGTTCGATGAGGTCCTAATAAGTGACCACTGATCAAGTGAAGCTACAGTCTACAGCTACAGTCTACAGCTACAGTCTACAGTACGGAGGTTTGGAAAAGTGTTTGGCCTGGTTTGCTCCTCAAAGTTGTCTGCCTGTTTGAACGAATGAGCTATCCTCAGGAGAGTCAGCGACAGCACCAACAGGGACAGAAACAAGAACAACCGGGAAAATACAGCAGCAAGAACAACAGCAACAACGGCATCACTCTGAATGGTGTTGTGAAAAACAACATATTCTGAAAATGCAATTGTGCAAAATGCAGATCTCTCTCATTGGCTACAATGCAAACAATTGAAACTAAAAAAGATGGTCTATGCAGCCTATGCAATTGAAGCTAAAAAAATAAGAGTATTAAGATATGTTAAGATCAATTGAGTCTTCAATTGAGCTCAGTCACACCTCTAAGGCTCCAGTGGCCATCAATCCTCTGGACCTGGCAAGAAATGCGGCAAGAGATTATAGATTTCAAAGCAAAGCAAATCGTTTGTCCGTTCTGTGTCGTTCTGTATCGTTCTGTATCGTTCTGTATGTTCTGTGGGGGCACATCTGATTTAAGGCTTGGTGGCCAAAACAACATCTTGAAGACTTACAAACTTCGCTTCTTCTCAGTATTCTTGCAATCAACAGGTCGGATAAAAAGGCAGAATGAACAAGCAGGTCAAGAACTGGGTAGACAGGTGTTTAGCTTGATCTGCTTGTGGGATTCCTGGGAGGGTGAAAAAGTCTTGTCAAGGGCCAGTGAAGGGCCAAGGGAGTGTGTCACTATGTCATGCTGGAAAGGATGTGCCATGTGAAACCGTCGCCAAGGTGATTCTGACAAGTTCTCTTAGTCGCCTGAGGCAGTGCAACAAGGGATCTCGGGGCTGTCTCGCCGTGGAGCTCTTCTTGAATCCAAATTCTCTCATCTGATTTCCTTTTTTTCAATTCCGCATTCTATTCCAACAATGTTTGCTCTTGGCAGGTTTTTACCAGGTCATGTGTGATGACTTTTTCAGGAATACCTAATTATGACATTTAGGAATTCACTGGTGTTTGCATGGTTCCATTGCTGTTTGCTGAGCATTTCATGACTTATGCACTTCTTTTGGTGTAGATTCTCAGAAAGTGTTCCGCCCTTTTCGATCATGTTTGCTTTCTTCTTGTTTTGGAGCCCAGTTCCCACTACTGCTTGTGATGCAGCCCTTTGTTCAAAGTGTGGCTCATTGCCAGATGATTTTGTGCAAGAGCATTTACATTGCTCAATTTTGAAAGCCATGTATTTGGTTTGGAAACTTTAACCCCGTCCTGTTTTTGCGGCATTCGCTCCAGATTTCTCCATTTGTTTCCATGTGGCATCTCTGTCTTTTCAAGCGTGTGTGCCTGCAGCATATGGTCGGTGTCACCGATGGTTTTCCTGTTGTTGATATAAGCAGCTTTGGACATTTTATCGCTAGGTTATGTCTTTGCTCTGGCTCTATCTTTCTGTGTGTGTGTGTGCGAGTCTCATGTCTGTTTTGTTTGAGCTTTTTCAGGAAGACAAGGAGTGCCCTTGGTGAAAGTTCTGTCACAACTAATGTCCCTGCAAGAATTTGTTCCAGCTCCTGCTGCGCTACTGGTTGCTGGTACAAGACCGTTCGTTCAGGAAGCAATTCAGACGTTAAACATGTGCCAGGTTTTGTCACAAAAGTGATTCAAATCAATCCACAGTGGTTTTTGTCAAGAAAAGAACACTTGACAAGAAAAACTTCCCGCGACAGCAAGCTAAAGTGAGTGAAAGCAGGAAAAATGCATGACTAGGTGACCCTTTCTGAGGAGCCAAAGCCAAGAGTGCAGTGATTGCCGCTGCTTGTGCTTCCGGAATTCCTGTTCCGTTGTCTGAAGCAGATGCATCTGAGAGCCTTTGTGACTTGATCTGTGGCCTTGAAACCTATGGAGAAACTCAACCGTCCCTGTGACTACAAGAATCGTTTCGGTTCTCCTAAAAGTCGAATCAGTTGCGGAATGGAGTCTGCATTGATGATTACAGCGCGGCACCTGAGAACGCAAGCATCTTTATGCCCGCCCCATACATCTGGGACTGAAGCTCAACGAAAATTCAAAACCTGCAAGTTTGCAATTTTGATTGCGAAAGACGTTCAATTTCGCCACGAGCACGGTGGCGAAGCAGCAAGACTGGCCAGTGTATTTGCAATGCGGATCTTCTCGAAAGGAAGGACCTCCCGTCGGGCAAGCTCGGTGAGTTGGGAAATTCATTGAGTCCAGTGCTGGCATTGCGCACCAGAAACCAAGGCATTGAACAGATCTATCCTACACAAACTACTGATGCTACTGTAAATCTATACAGATCTTCGGTGAAAGTAATGGTGAACTGCATATAACTGCATGACACACATTGACACACTATGCTCGCTGGGCCTGGTCGTTTGGCCTGACCTTGGGGTTTAGGACTAGAAACGCAGTCTACAAGGTGATGAATTTGAGAGGCAAGTTTGAGCTGGATGAGTGTCGGGCCAGCAGGCCCACCAACATCTTTGCACCACCAAATGCTATAATACTGGAGCGGACCTCGCCCCCCACCCCGATTGAAAAAAACTGGGCAACGGAAGAACAGAAAGGCACAATGGGGTCCCACTTCCGTCCTGCGCGTTCTCAGCTAGACTTTCCAGAGTTCTGATTGCCTGAACCTTGAGTTGGGAACACAAATCATGGATTGCTACATCGCACTGGGGTGCAACTGCGTTTCATTCCATCTTCCGCTCAAAAATTCGACTCAACACAGGTGGGTAAGCACATCACCCTTTGATCAGGATGACTGCTCAAGGAGGCAAGTGCTCTTGATACCGCCTCCGCACTGCACTGTATAAGCAACATGAACACGGCATGAAGCTGCTTCTATAAAGCTGATTGGAGTATGTAGTATATATATTATATTATATTATATTATATATATATTATGTATATATTATATATTATATATATATTATTATATATATATTATATTATATATATATTATTATATATATATATATTATATTATATATATATTATATTATATATATATTATATATATATATTATATATATATATATTATATATATTATATATATTATATATATATATATTTACATATCATTCAGCTGATTTACAATAATTGATCAATAGTGGTGCTCACATGTTCTCACTGAGACTCTTGCATCACCTTTGGATGCCAGGACTTTTGAGGAAGTGCGCTCCATGCTTGGACCGGAAAGCAGCTCCAACAAACTTTCTGCAGCCACATGATCGAATCTTGAGTGGAATTGCAGAGTCTATCATGAGTAAATCTCTTGCCCCTACTGCAACCACCATGTTTGGGAGGCTTAGAACTACACAATGTCCCGGGACACCAGTGCTTGTCGGGTTATGCGTTTTTCTCTGCTCCTCATTGTAAAACTGAAAATAAACAAAAAGCTGCGGCATGGGCCGGACATCTGAAGCAATTGACTGCGTGATAGGCTAAAAATAGCTAAAAGCAATGGCCATTAACAAGTCTCGGCTTATCCTTTTGCTTCCCTCTCTTTCCTTGCTAAATCTTGCTAAATTGAACACATTTGTCTCTGCACTCTCCAAATGCACCTTTCTTTTCCGCTTGTCCGTACTACTCAAGTGGGACAAAGCGGGGGGTTCAGCGCAGAGGATCTCTGATGCAAAAAAACGACGAATGGACTTCTGAAAACGAATCCAAATAAATAAAGACAATAATTGGTTACGAATAGCTGCTCCTTTCAGTGCCAGTGTTTTGACACAGCCATGGCATAAACAGAATCAGCATTTCAAAGGCTGTTAAGTATGATAGTGACAGTGGAAAGCCACACAAGATCTTGTAGCAGTATTCATGGGACCCTCGCACGCTTCTAGCTGATTGAATTATCACTTATCACTGAGCACGCAGCTGGACATGTATCCACGGTGAAACTTTGCACTAGATGGACGTTCACACGCCAGACAAGACTTGATTTCGCCAATTCGAAAAACAGCGCCCAAGCACTGGCTCACTCGGGAATGTCCTGGATTGTCCCAAGGTGGGACCAAGTGCAGGCTGATGGAATCGAAATCTCAAAGCTGGTGCGGCTACCCCAAAGACAAAGAAAACCGAATACGTTCCTGGTTGGTGGTTTTAACCATCTTGAAAAATATTAGTCAATGGGAAGGACTATCCCATATATTATGGAAAATAAAAAATGTTTGAAACCACCAACCAGGTTCATATAAGAGTCATATGAATGTATAAGATAGCATTAAAAATATATGTCATAATATTTCTATGTTTTCAAATCAAACGAAGTTCGTTCATTGCCTAAATGTCAGGATCTGGATCGTCGCGAGGCAGGCATTTCGGGGCTGGCCTCGAGAACGAATCTGTGCAGGTTCATTTCATTTTAGTGCAACACCACAAACATTTTGTGCACCTCAAGGTTTGCTGCGAGAATTTGTCGGCATGAGACCTTGAGTCAACAGGTTTTCTATATGTTTGCGGAAAATGCGTTTGTGAATTTGGGGGAAAAATATGTGCTGCTGACACTTGGGGACAGACTCTGGGTTGCGACATACCCAAGGCTTCCAAATCGCCTTTAGGAGACAACATTCATCAATGTCTCGGGGCAGCACAACAATAGTTGAAAGAAATGCCGGGAATGTCATGATGGCTGCGAGGAGCACTGCTTGAAAAAGCGGGACACGTGACGCAGACTTACTGAAAGCACGAGTAGGACAATGCTCTTTTACTCGAAACCAATAAAATTGACAAAAACTGGATATGTACAAAATAGATTTCAAAATTAGATAAAACAAACACTGCCATTCCGTATTTGTGAGACTCCATATACTGTCTAGACTCTGTACACTCTGCACTGTGCAACTTAAAGTGGTGAAAGATGGTGAAAGTGGTCGCTTGGGCCTGATCTTCTTGCGACTCCTTGGCCACCGTGATGCATTCCTCCACCAATTCCACTTGTCACTTGAGATTTGCAACACCAGTCTTGACAGAAATGGAAGTTTAATGAAATTCAAAAAAGTTCTAATAGTTTTTTACTTGATCTTTAAATATCTTTAACTTATGACATGTGACATGCTTGGAGAATTTGCTGAGACACAACTGTAGTTTTTGAGGCAATACTGGCAATACCTTTCAATAAGTGTGGCCTGCAGAGCTGGACGTGCTTCTGGAGCTGAGACACACATGGTGCACATCCAAGCGTCCTTGGATCAGGTTTCCAGGAGATTCTGGGCATATGTTCGTTATTGTTCTATCGGATTCTATCGCTAGAAGTATCCTTGGACTCTCGGGCATCAAGACACCCTAACCCGCCTAACCCGTGTTCAAAAACGGCTCACGGAAAGATGGGACAATCGCACTACACCATGCCATAGTGGACCCTCACTGTCACCCCCAACAGTAGTAAAAGATTATTCCAGAGACTCAGATACAATCATGCAAAGCAGCATTTGAGTTAATCATCCTGCTAGGATTTTGTTGCATAGGGAGTACCGTCGAACACCTGTATAGAAAAGAAATGAAATGCAAAAACTTCCTCCACACCGTTTCTGAAATTTATTCTTTCGTCTCTGATATCACAACAACAGGATGCATTGCATTGCATCTAGACGCTATTAATTACATGTCAGAATTGCACTTTCAGCACTAGAGCTGGGGTCCTGTGTTTGTCCGCGTTCTTCCAAAGCAGGGGAAAAATTTGACCGTGGGTTCCAACTGTCCCACAAGGACACTCAATTGGGGAAGAATAGTGCCCAACAAACCTCTATATAAACGGCCCGGCATGGGCTCAACATGGGGCCAACATAGGCCAACACATTTGCTTGTTGTAGCCATATCTGAATCTGAAGATGCTTGAAGACGATTCCGGCAAGAAAAGCATGTTTGGGGATTTTTAAGGTATCAAAAATATCGAATCGACCAAACTGACCAAACTTATTGGCAGCATCTGGGTCTGCGGGTAACTAAAAACTTGTCTGAGGCTTCCCCAGTGGCGAAGCATAGCTTCCATACAGGCTCGACATCCCCAGATTTCACAATCAGGGAATCTAGGCTTGAGATGAGTTCAAATAGGAACAGCATGTCATCCAATGATCCTCCAAATCGCCAAGCCTGGGCTTAAGATAGATTCTACATACTTTCAACATTTCGCTCCGGTTGGCGGTAAAGTCTATATCTAAAGGACAGCATGTTCGATATGTTCGATATGGTTTTGCAGAATGTTCCAAACCATTTCAAGGCCCTCCAAATAGACAACTCTGGGATTGAAAATATTATATATATACATCTCAAAGTGACATATGAAGAACTCACCACGTCTTCCGCGCACAGCTCTTTTTCAACCACCTACCAAAGTTCAGTCTGTTTCACCTGCTCTCCTCAGGTTTGCTTTGGATGTGTCACAATGTGACTCGCACATAGCCCCAGACCGAATCACCTCTGGTCAGCAACCTGGTCACCCCAGGTTGGGACCTGCCTTTGCAGGTATCACCCGTCCCTTAACCTAAGGGAGGGAAGTTTCTTTTGGTCGCCCCAAAAGAGTATCCCCGAAAGAGGCTATGTACTCGCCTGCCATGCAGGCTCCCCTAACCTAGGCGGACATCTCCACGGGAGGTCGGCTCTTAGGGTTGGGAGGGTGGGGAAAGAAACAGCAATGAATGCTATTTTGGCTCAGCTCCACTTGAGCCAAAATGAAAGCATTCATTGACTCACTTAAAGATGACACATGCACACCCAAGCCTGCCAAACTCAATGCATGAATACATCTCAAAGTGACATATGAAGAACTCACCACGTCTTCCGCGCACAGCTCTTTTTCAACCACCTACCAAAGTTCAGTCTGTTTCACCTGCTCTCCTCAGGTTTGCTTTGGATGTGTCACAATGTGACTCGCACATAGCCCCAGACCGAATCACCTCTGGTCAGCAACCTGGTCACCCCAGGTTGGGACCTGCCTTTGCAGGTATCACCCAACGCACTCAAACACCCAAAGCACTAGAGGAATTCAAAGGTGAGAATGACTGCAACGAATGGCAACTGGAAAAAGATTGTGGGGAGGTACGACGAATGAAAGCTAGATCCATGGCAGCGCCACCAAGTCGTCGGCCCAGTTGCTCTTGCTCTGGACGTACTCCCAGTAGCCCTGGGCACGCAGTGCGAAGAGGGCCAAAGGAATCAGATGGCCTAGCTTTGCTAGGTCCGAATTGCTAGAACGTCCCCTCACTAAGGTCATGACTGCAGCCACAGCGTCGAGGAACCATAGACCGTGTCGATGGCGGAGAAGGCCAGGGCTCTCACTCAAGGTGTAAATTACCATGGAGAGCTCCAACTGCGCAATGTGGGTCTCTGCAGGCTGCCACAGGAATTGTAGTTCTTCGCAATTGGTAGCAACAAAACTGTAAATTCACGTTTTGGCTCGAAACGCATCACTGCTTCGATCACCTCGAAGCATTCTTCAATCTCTGAAGTCAAGCTGGTGACACTCTCGTCCTGGCAAGCCTTCACTGCCATAAGGTCACCATAGCCAACTCGCCCATAGATGCCCTGCTCCTCAAGTTTCCCGAAGTAAGAGCACCCGTACTTGGAAGCTGAAATTCGCTTAAAAGTTCGAGCCAGATTCATGGCAAGTGGAAGGCACCACCACGTAGGATCGCCCCCACGTGGGCCCCAAACCTATGTCACAAAAGCAAGTAAGGCCACATCAAGTAGGATTGCCTCCGGCTTGAAACCCAACCTGCTTACGACAGCAGAGGCCTACAGCCTTGTGGCCACTGCCTGGCAATGATCATGGGCAACCTGTGAACCTCAAGTAGCGTTACCTCTACTTGGAACCTGGCTTGCTGGGGCAGGCAAAACTAACAGCCTCCAGTTCTGCTGAAAACGCAAACACGGGTGCCAGCAAGTAGGATGACCCCCACTTGGACTCCAAACCTGAATCACTAAGGCAATAAGGCCACACCAAGCAGGATCATCTCCTCCTTGAAACCCAACCAGCTTAAGCCCACAGCCCTGTGGGCACTGCCTGGCAATGCCCATGGGCAACCTGTGAACCTCAAGTAGCGTTACCTCTACTTGGAAACCTGGCTTGCTGGGGCAGTCAAAACCAACAGCCTCCAGCTCTACTGAGAACGTAAAAAAAAAGAAGAAAAAAAAAACGGGTGCCAACGAGTAGGACCCTCACTTGGACCCCAAACCTACGTCACTGAAGCCAAGCAGAATATTTCCTGCTTGAAACCCAAACGGCTTGAGACAGCAGAGGCCCATATCTGTGAGCGCACTGCCGACACCCAGCTTGCTTGGGGGAGTCAAAACCAACAGCAGCCCACGCTGCTGAGATTGCAAAATCCAAGTTTCCAGAAGTAGGATCACCCCTACTTGGAAACTGAAATTCGCTGAAAATTCGAGCCATATTCATGGCAATTGCTAGGCACCCTCAGGTAGGATCACCCCCACTTGGATGCCGAACTTATGTCGCTAAAGCAAGTAGGGCTACACTAAGTAGGATTACCTCCTGCTTGAAACCCAACCAGCTTGAGACAGCAGAGGCTTACAGCCCTGTGGTCACTGCCTGGCAGTGCCGGTGGGCAAGCAAGTAGCGTTACCTCTACTTGGAAACCCAGCTTGCCGGGAAAAGTCAAAAACCAACAGCCTCCAGTTTACTGAATGCTCAGAACCTCAGGTGTCCCGAAGTAGGAGCACCCGTATTTGGGAGCTGAAATTCGCTTAAAAATTTCGAGCCAGGCTCCTGGCGGGTGTTGGGTACCACCACGTAGGATTGACCCCACTCGGATCCCAAACCTATGTCACAAAAGCAAGTAGGGCTACATCAAGCAGGAGTGCCTCCTGCTTGTAACCCAACCTGCTTAAGACAGCAGAGGCCCACAGCCCTGTGGTCACTGCCTGGCAATGCCCATGGGCCACCTGTGATCCTCAAGTAGCGCTACCTCTACTTAGAAACCCAGCTTGCTGGGGGCAGTCAGAACCAATAGCCTCCAGCTCTGCTGAAACCGCAAAAATCCAAGTTTCCAGAAGTAGGAACACCCCTACTTGGAAACCGAAATTCGCTTAAAAACTGGCGCTACATTCATGGCAAGTGTTGGGCACCAGCGAGTAGGATCACCCCCACTAGGGCCCAAAACATATGTCACTAAAGCAATAAGGTCACGCCAAGCAGGATTACCTCCTGCTTGAAACCCAACCTGCTTAAGACAGCAGAGGCCCACATCTCTGTGCTCACTGCCGCCACCCAGCTTGCTTGGGGAAGTCAAAACCAACAGCCCCCAGCTCTGCTGAAATTGCAAAAATCCAGTTTCCAGAAGTAGGATCACCCCTATTTGGAAACTGAAATTCGCTTAAACAATTCAAGCCATATTCATGGCAACAGCTGGGCACCCTCAGGTAGGATCACCCCTACTTGGACGCCGAACCTATGTCGCTAAAGGAATTAGGGCCACACCAAGTAGGATTGCCTCCTGCTTGGAACCCAACCTGCTCAAGACAGCCCTGTGGTCACTGCCTGGCAGGGTCGATGGGCAACCTGGGCTTCTCAAGTAGCGTTGCCTCTACTTGGGAACCCAGCCTGCTTGGGGCAGTCAAAACCAACAGCCTCCAGCTCTGTTGAAATTGCAAAAACAAACCATGTTTCCAGAAGTAGGATCACCCCTACTTGGAAACTCAAATTCGGTTGAACTTCAAGCCATATTCATGGCAAGTGTTGGGTACCCACCAGTAGGATCACCCCCAATTGGAAGGACCCTATGTCGCTAAAGCAATTAAGGCCACACCAAGTAGGATTGCCTCCTGCTTGGAACCCAACCTGCTTAAGACAGCAAAGGCCCACAACCCTGTAGTCACTGCCTGGCAGTGTCGATGGGGAACCTGTGAGCCTCAAGTAGCGGTGCCTCGACTTGGAGACCTAGCTGGCTTGGGGCAGCCAAAAACAACAGCCTTTAGCTCTGCGGAAATTGCAAGAATCCAGTTGCCAGAAGTAGGATTTCATAGCAGGTGTTGGGCACCCTCAAGTAGGACTACCCCCACTTGGACCCAAAACCTATGCCACTAAAGCAATAAGGCCACACCAAGTAGGGTTACCTCCTGCGTGGAACCCAACCTGCTTAAGACAGCAGAGGCCCACAACCCTCTGGTCACTGCCTGGCAGTGTCGATGGGCAACCTGTGGCCTTCAAGTAGCGTCACCTCTACTTGGAAACCCAGCCTCCTGGAGGGAAGTCAGACCCAACAACCTCCAATTCTGCTGAATTTGCAAAAAAAACAAGTGCCCAGAAGTAGGATCACCCCTACTTGGTAGCTGAAATTCGCTTAAAAATTCGAGCCAGATTCATGGCAAGTGCTGGGCACCAAAACGTAGGATCGCCCCCACTTGGACCCCAAAACTATGTCACGAAAGCAAGTGCGGCCACACCAAGTAGGATGACCTCCTGCTTGAAACCCAACCTGCTTAAGACAGCGGAGGCCCACAGCCCTGTGGTCACTCCCTGGCAGTGCCAGTGGGCAACCTGTAATCCCCAAGTAGCGTTACCTCTACTTGGAAGCCCAGCTTTCTTGGGGCAGTTAAAACCAACAGCCTCCAGCTCTGCTGAAAATGCCAAAAAAAAAGAAAGCAAGTTGCCCAGAAGTAGGATCACCCCTACTTGGAAGCTGAAATTTCCTTAAAATTTCAAGCCATGTTCATGGCAGGTGTTGGGCACTCTCAAGTAGGACCACCCCCAACTTGGATCCAAAACCTATGCCACTAAAGCAATAAGGCCACACCAAGTAGGGTTACCTCCTGCGTGGAACCCAACCTGCTTAAGACAGCAGAGGCCCACAACCCTCTGGTCACTGCCTGGCAGTGTCGATCGGCAACCTGTGGCCTTCAAGTAGCGTCACCTCTACTTGGAAACCCAGCCTCCTGGAGGGAAGTCAGACCCAACAACCTCCAGTTCTGCTGAATTTGCAAAAAAAAACAAGTGCCCAGAAGTAGGATCACCCCTACTTGGTAGCTGAAATTCGCTTAAAAATTCGAGCCAGATTCATGGCAAGTGCTGGGCACCAAAACGTAGGATCGCCCCCACTTGGACCCCAAAACTATGTCACGAAAGCAAGTGCGGCCACACCAAGTAGGATTACCTCCTGCTTGAAACCCAACCTGCTTAAGACAGCGGAGGCCCACAGCCCTGTGGTCACTCCCTGGCAGTGCCAGTGGGCAACCTGTGATCCCCAAGTAGCGTTAGCGTTACCTCTACTTGGAAGCCCAGCTTTCTTGGGGCAGTTAAAACCAACAGCCTCCAGCTCTGCTGAAAATGCAAAAAAAAAAGAAAGCAAGTTGCCCAGAAGTAGGATCACCCCTACTTGGAAGCTGAAATTTCCTTAAAATTTCAAGCCATGTTCATGGCAGGTGTTGGGCACTCTCAAGTAGGACCACCCCCAACTTGGACCCAAAACCTATGCCATTACAGCAATAAGGCCACACCAAGTAGGGTTACCTCCTGCTTGAAACCCAACCTGCTTAAGACAGCAAACGCCCACATTTCTGTGCGCACTGCCGACACTCAGCTTGCTTGGGGCAGTCAAAACCAACAGCCTCCAGCTCTGCTGAAAACGAAAACCTCCTCCACAAGTAGGGTCACCCCTACTTGGAAACCAAAATTCGCTTAAAAACTGACGCCACGTTCATGGCAAGTGTTGGGCACCAACGAGTAGGATCACCCCCACTTGGACCCAAAACAATTGTCACTAAAGCAAGTACGGCCACACCAAGCAGGATCACCACCTGCTGGAAACCCAACCTGCTTAAAACAGCAAGCGCCCACATTTTTGTGCGCACTGCCGACACCCAGCTTGCTTAGGGCAGTCAAAACCAACAGCCTCCAGCTCTGCTGAAAACGAAAACCTCCAAGTTTCCACCAGTAGGGTCACCCCTACTTGAAAACCAAAATTCGCTTAAAAACTGACGCCACGTTCATGGCAGGTGTTGGGCACCAACGAGTAGGATCACCCCCACTTGGGCCCAAAACATATGTCACTAAAGCAATAAGGTCACGCCAAGCAGGATTACCTCCTGCTTGAAACCCAACCTGCTTAAGACAGCAGAGGCCCACATCTCTGTGCTCACTGCCGCCACCCAGCTTGCTTGGGGAAGTCAAAACCAACAGCCCCCAGCTCTGCTGAAATTGCAAAAATCCAGTTTCCAGAAGTAGGATCACCCCTATTTGGAAACTGAAATTTGCTTAAATTTCAAGCCATACTCATGGCAACTGCTGGGCACCCTCAAGTGGGATAATCCCCACTTGGACGCCGGACCTATGTTGCTAGAGCAAGTAAGGCCACACCAAGTAGGATTACCTCCTGCTTGGAACCCAACCTGCTTAAGACAGCAGAGGCCCACAACCCTCTGGTCACTGCCTGGCAGTGTCGATCGGCAACCTGTGGCCTGCAAGTAGCGTCACCTCTACTTGGAAACCCAGCCTCCTGGAGGGAAGTCAGACCCAACAACCTCCAGTTCTGCTGAATTTGCAAAAAAAAACAAGTGCCCAGAAGTAGGATCACCCCTACTTGGTAGCTGAAATTCGCTTAAAAATTCGAGCCAGATTCATGGCAAGTGCTGGGCACCAAAACGTAGGATCGCCCCCACTTGGACCCCAAAACTATGTCACGAAAGCAAGTGCGGCCACACCAAATAGGATTACCTCCTGCTTGAAACCCAACCTGCTTAAGACAGCGGAGGCCCACAGCCCTGTGGTCACTCCCTGGCAGTGCCAGTGGGCAACCTGTGATCCCCAAGTAGCGTTAGCGTTACCTCTACTTGGAAGCCCAGCTTTCTTGGGGCAGTCAAAGTAACCAACAGCCTCCAGCTGCTGAAATGGCCAGAAACCAAGTTGCCCAGAAGCAGGATCACCCCTACTTGGAACTGAAATTGTTCTTAAAACTTCAAGCCATATTCATGGCAGGTGTTGGGCACCCTCAAGTAGGACCACCCCCACTTGGACCCAAACCCTATGCCCCTAAAGCAATACGGCCATACCAAGTAGGGGTTACCTCCCGCTTGAAACCCAACCTACTTGAGAACGCAGAGGCCCACAGCCGTGTGGTCACTCCCCCTGTGGTCCAAGCAATACTCATGGCAAGTGTTGGGCGCCATCAAGGAGGATCACCCCCGCTTGGACCCCAATATATGTCACGAAAGCAAGTACGGCCACACCAAGCAGGATCACCTCCTGCTGGAAACCCAACCTGCTTAAAACAGCAAACGCCCACATTTCTGTGCCCACTGCCGACACCCAGCTTGCTTGGGGAAGTCAAAACCAGCAGCAGCCAGCGCTGCTGAAATCGCAAATATCCAGGTTTCCAGAAGTAGGATCACCCCTACTTGGAAACTGAAACTCGCTTAAAAAGTCGATTCATATGCATGGCAAGTGTTGGGAACCCTCAAGTGCTGGGCACGCAGTGCAAACAGAGCCAAATGGATCAAATGGCCGAGCTTTGCTAACCCCGAATTGCTAGAGCGCCCTCTCACCAAGGTCATGACTGCGGCAACGTTGTCGAGGAACCAGAGACCATGTCGATGTCGAAAAAGGTCGGGGCGCTCGATCAAGGCGCACAACACCATAGAGAGCTCCAGTTGCGTGCCTTGATGGCCATGAGACCGCCATACCCGACTCGCCCAGAAATACCTTGCTCCAAGAAGATTGCAAGTCTATAAAGTTTGGAAGCTGTGCCTCGAGTAAAGTGGCCTGCTTGACGTGCTGTGGCAAGACATCACGAACTTTGCCATGGAGTCTGGTGCGGGCTCAAAAACGAAGATGACCTGTCTTATTGATGCAACTCAGGTCATGGGTAAGTCCCAAAGAAGCGCCAGTGCTCTGCATGGTCTGCGTTTTGTCTTCCGCAAATAAAGATCCGATCATCAGGCATAGTTGTTTCATCGCCCATTGCCCGGAGCCCTTGGCAGAGCGGACATCAGTGATCGCGGCATTAAAGTACAGGGATGTCAAAACTTGGCAATACCAGCGAGTCAGCGCTTCCAACAGTCTGGGAAAATCAGTTGAACGAAGTGATTGCCAGGGGGAGCCTAAACAAGAGGCCTGCATAGACCTGGGATACCGGAGTTTGCCACTCATCAGTGAAACCAGACGACAACGCAGCCTAAGCTCTCCTGCTGACATGGGGCAGTACCTTTAGGCAGACGGCAGGTCCTCTTAGCCTGTCTCCCAGGCATCATGGTGACAAAACTCGGCGACCTCGTCCTCAGACCAACGACGCATAACCAGGCTTATGGGCGACTACATAGTGTAAGCATGTTGGCATCGGAAGAAAGGTCTGATTGCCCTCCGGTGTCACCGTTGTCGATGACTCGTTGTTTCCCCGAACTTTGGGTGGTCACACAGCGCAGGATAAGACGATGTGCCCGGCCGCCAATGTCCCTGAGGAACTCTGCTCGCCGCAGAGGAGGTGTACAAAAACCGTTTCTGGCGTCTTCCAAGAACTGCTGCAGCAAGAATGCATCGCTTCGCCACGTGCTGCTTGAACTCCAGGAACGCAGCAGCATGGAGGAGCGACGCCTCGGTGGCCGCCGGGATGTCGCTCCCACGAAGCTTACGCTGCATGCACGGTCTCCCCTTGCAACTACCAGGTCACCCCTTATGATGCTTGTAACCAACCAGGTCACCCCTGGTTATTGATGTGGTGAGCCGCTCAATCAAGGTCTAGGAAGGTCACCCCTTACCAGGGCCAGGAAAGAAACAGCAATGAATGCTATTTTGGCTCAGCTCCACTTGAGCCAAAATGAAAGCATTCATTGACTCACTTAAAGATGACACATGCACACCCAAGCCTGCCAAACTCAATGCATGAATATATATTCGTCGTGGAGTGACGCGAGAATCTTCAACCACACGCCTCTCCTGAGATCCATACCCAGTTGCACGGCTTGTGCATGGCGAAATCTGACTGGTTTGGCAAAACCTGCAGTATCAACTCGGGAAAGTGCTGAGTCTGATTTGCTTTGAAGCAAACATGGGATGTCTGCACCAAAGAAGATCAAGACTACCCAAAAGGCAAAATGGCTCAAAGTCTCATTTCAAAACTTTGGGAACTTTGGAAGCGCCCAAAACCGTCCAGAACCTCTAAACCTTACAGACCATCATGCCACCACCCCAGCCAATCTCAGAAACTTAATCCACACGTCTTGAAGTCTTATTTGCTTTACAGGCTTTAAGTTCATGAGTCATTCATGAGATGTTACAAGATGTTACAATATGTTAGAAGAGACTGTCAGAGACTGTGCCGCAGACTGGAGCAGTCAAGGTGGGCCCTGCATCCAGTGATCTTGGCACCTGGCACTCCAGAAATGCTGGGGTTCGTGGAGTCCATGGGGCCGTCCATGGCCTTGCAGTGCCTTGCCCTTTGGATCCCTTTGGTATCAATATGTCAATATGTATCAATTGAAGCGCCTTGAAGTAGCCATCATCATCAGGGGGCTGCGGCCTCACAGAGAGAGAGAGTTATTCCGGCTTTCGCCTTTTCTTGAACATGTCAGACGTGTCGATCATCTGTACAAAACTGTAAGCTCATGATGCTCTTCTTGGAACGCAACATGTCGTCGAACTCTTTGGACGCATGGAAGTCCTACAGCTGTACAGCTCAGCTGGGTATCAGTGATTCTAGATGCGTTGATTGGTGCCATAGGTTTCATGTCTCCTCTGATGAAACGCAGTCCTGGCAATTTCGATTCAAATCAAATTGTATGTATGCAAACGTAAATGGACTGCTGGAAAGTCTTCATGCCATACGGTAAAAAAAGTCAACAGAGCCAGCGCACCGTCTGGTCATTTCCGGTTCGTTTGGCCAAATCGCGAAACAGCGGCATCGGTCTTCCCTCTTGCCAATCCAAAAACCTCGAGCAACTCACAATGGATACATTGAAAAGATTTGAAAAGGAACAAAGAAGAGCTTGCATCAACAATTACTTACAACATTGTGCAAACCTAGGAAACAGATCAACCATTGTTGTTCATTGAAATTATTCCGCTCGTTCCTTACTCCCCAGCGCCTCGAATAAGGCTTGAGACTATCCAACTTTATGTTTGAAGGAGTGATAAGTATTGGAACGGTAAGAATTAGCCACTTGGACAACGTACGGTAAGGTATGACAAGGTGAACTCAGGGAAAAGTGTTTCATTCAAAGGCCAAAGGGCGTTGGATGCAGAATGCCAAGCTGCACTTAACTGTTATTCAAAAAATTAAACTGCCCGCATTGCCAGGCCCTTTGCCATCCGCAACCGACAAACAGTTCACCAACATACCATTGACAATTGAGTCCTAAAGGCAACAGTCCCACGGGCCCTCTCAATGAGTCCAATGGTAACGCACAGCTCAAAGATTGCTCTGGTGAGTAGGCAAAATTGCAGTGTCCGGCTATGCGGAGCTGCAACTGATGACAAGCTGTGGAAAAGTTTCCCATTTATTCAAGTGCATCCAACCATTCCTGCAAACACCTCCCAACATCTCTCAACAGCCGAACCCCCTGTCCGGATGTTCCTTCGGTGTTTGCGTCGCAAACCCAGACCCACACTTATTGCTGTATCGAAATATGATATGATTAGAAAAGGCCGGACTTGAACGAACGTCACCAAATTGTGCCTACGTTTCAGGAAGATGTCTTGTGGAAACGTGTGACCGTGTGATCCGATCAAGCTAAACGCAGCTAAACCTCAGCTCGTCACTGCTGCACAGCATCGGCGGTGCTCCGATCTGGCTTTGAGTCGGACATCCCTTGCCTGAAGTCGCACGAAAAATTCCCTTCACAATTTCAAGGCTCAGCTGCTTTGACACACCATTGTTCTATATTGTTCTTATGAGGCTCCGTCGCAGCATCGTTGCTTCCTGCATATTCACAAGCTGAAGCTGCTTGAGACACTGCATCTTAGCACAACAGCTGATACTTGCCAATCCATCTGCCTTCTTGAAGACGAGATTGGCTCCTAGGAGCGCCTCATGTGCGCAAAAATGAGGCAAGACATACTGTGTGCGTCTTGAGGGCAGCTTGACAATACGACACTTTGGCGAAATCGGAATGTTCAAATTATTGCCTACAGAATACCAGGCACATTTGCCTGCATACAGGATTGCCAATACCCAGATTCTCTTCGCAATGGTGCTTGTTCAGAAGCGGCAAGTCAATGGTTTTAGGAACTCAACAATTGCAAAGTAACTCTGGTCTTGCAAGGCACGCAGTCTGTGAGACATGTTGAGACATGTTGTGTGGGTTCAAAATAAATCAAATAAATCAAAATAACATTCAAAATGAATGGCTTAGGGTGACTGATGTGATTGTTTGTAGGTCGGGTTGCTGTGGGGCCCACTGGGGTGGCGTGGTCCTGGGCCATCCTGTGGCATGCTGTGGTTTACCGATTTACCTTAAGCGGGTGGCCGTGCTATGTTGGCAGATGGCAGAGGGTCTTCCGGTGCCTTGGTTGCCTGTCATGAGTCATGAGCCCATGAATTCAAAACATTTCAAAACGGGAAATCATTGCTATGGAACTGAGACCTGAGGACCAACGTCCATTGCAAGTGGTTCCAAGCCTCTTAGGTGCCACAGCCTGTGGACAAATGAGTTTATCAAACAAAAAACTCACTCAATGAATGCCTCCTTGAATCTGAGTCTGTCTTCTCCAATTGTGGATTTGCAACTTTGCACCTTGCTTGCAGATTGAAGCCAAAATATGTTTGCCTTCTGATCCATTCTGAGAAGAGTTGGCGTGAGACTTGCATCAAAGACCCAGCTTGGAATCCTCTCATGGACACACAGTTGCACATGGCTACTCTTGAACAAGGTTTGTTCTGGCGGTTGCTTGGCTTTCATGATACTCTTGAGAAAAAAGTGAAGTCCTCAACGGTTCAAAGTTGTAGTCTGGGAGGCCAAAGAACTGGAGGACCGGAACGATGAAAATAGCCGGGTCCTTTGCAAGCATGCACTTTCATCACCTTCATCACGTTCATCACTTTCATCACGTTCATCACTTTCATCACGTTCATTACTTCCATCACGTTCATCACTCTCATCACTTTCATCACGTTTATCACTTTGATCACTTTCATCACATTCATCACGTTCATCACATTCATCACCTCCATCACGTTCATCACTCTCATCACTTTCATCACGTTCATCACTTTGATCACTTGCATCACATTCATCACGTTCATCACGTACATCACGTTCATCACTTTCATCACCTTCATCACGTTCATCACTTTCATCACTTTCATCATTCTCATCATACATCACTTTCATCACGTTCATCACTTTCATCACGTTCATCACCTCCATCACAATCATCACTCTCATCACTTTCATCACGTTCATCACTTTGATCACTTTCATCACATTCATCCTGTTGATCACGTACATCACTTTCATCACCTTCATCACGTTCATCACTTTCATCACTTTCATCATTCTCATCATTCATCACTTTCATCACGTTCATCATTTTCATCACGTTCATGACCTCCATCACGTTCATCACTCTCATCACTTTCATCACGTTCATCACTTTGATCACTTTCATCACATTCATCACGTTCATCACGTACATCACGTTCATCACTTTCATCATGTTCATTACGTTCATCACATTCATCACTTTCATCACTTTCATCATTCTCATCATTCATCTCTTTCATCACGTACATCACTTCATTACGTTCATCACCTCCATCACGTTCATCACTCTCATCACTTTCATCACGTTCATCACGTTGATCACTTTCATCACATTCATCACGTTCATCACGTACATCACGTTCATCACTTTCATCACGTTCATCACGTTCGTCACGTTCATCACGTTCATCACTTTCATCATTCTCATCATTCATCACTTTCATCACGTTCATCACTTTCATCACGTTCATCACCTCCATCACGTTCATCACTCTCATCACTTTCATCACTCTCATCACTTTGATCACTTTCATCACATTCATCACGTTCATCACGTACATCACGTTCATCACTTTCATCACTTTCATCACTTTCATCACGTTCATCACTTTCATCACTTTCATTACTTCCATCACGTTCATTACTTTCATCACGTTCATCACGTTCATCACGTACATCACGTTCATCACTCTCATCACTCTCATCACGTTCATCACGTTCATCACTCTCACCACTTTCATCACGTTCATCACTTTAATCACTTTCATCACGTTCATCTTGTTCATCACATTCATTACTTTTATCACGTTCATCACATTCATCACGTTCATCACGTTCATCACGCTAATCACTTTCATTATTTTCATAACTTTCATCACTATCATCACGTTCATCACGTTCATCACTTTCATCACTTGCATCACTTTCATCACATTCATCACGTTCATCACGTTCATCACCTCCATCACGTTCATCACTCTCATCACTTTCATCACGTTCATCACTTTGATCACTTGCATCACATTCATCACGTTCATCACGTACATCACGTTCATCACTTTCATCACCTTCATCACGTTCATCACTTTCATCACTTTCATCATTCTCATCATACATCACTTTCATCACGTGCATCACGTACATCACGTTCATCACTTTCATCACGTTCATCACTTTCATCACGTTCATCACTTTCCATCACGTTCATCACGTTCATCACGTTCATCACGTTCATCACTTTCATCACGTTCATCACTTTGATCACTTTCATCACATTCATCACCTTCATCAAGTTCGTCACTTTCATCACTTTCATCACTTTCACTGTCCCTGTTGCTTTTAAGTCAAGGGCGTTGCTGATCTGAGATGTTTCATGTTGAGCCGATGTTGAGCTGATGGCTGACAGCAGACTGGCGTTGTGCGTCATGTCCTCTGGTGAGACCTTGGAGTCCATCAGCACTTGACAACCACTGGCACTATTCCACATTGAGCCCATTGAGCACTTCTACCGGGTCTACCGGGTCTACCGTACCTATATAAATATTGTAAGTCAGCAACAGTGCAACTACAACACAACTCTGCAGGATAGACCATTCAAGTACAGTACCGTTAACGTCAATACAATTCTTCTGAGTCAAACACCAATCGTTTTCTTCTGGTGCAGGTTTCATAGAGCTCTTGGCCATGACTCCACGGCACAACTGTGTCCTCCACAAGCCAATGTGGAATCCGAAGTGATTTAATGAGATCATGGATGGACAAGTTGCCAATTCCATGGATGTGCAAAATATGTGTCCAACATCTTTCAACTTTCAATGACCAAGTCCTTCTTGCCATGGACAATCAGCAAAAAACCGGAGATGTTCTTGATTTTCTCCTTCAAACGCAGATCGGATCTACCCGTTCTCGTGGCAGAACTTCCTGTGAGTTCAAAGTATGTCTGCCTTGTTTGGAAAGCGTTCTTCGATGAAATCCCTGGCACAGTCAAGTGGCATGTGGATCTGTCAAAGGAATCCCTGAGGACTTTCTCTTTTTTGACAACCATGATAAAATAATACAAAATATGATAAGCATGGATAAGCCAGAATAAGCCTAGATTCCCAGATAGTGATGCAAAACAGGCTGGCGGCGGCGCAACTCGTCCGAGGTGACATCGCACAACTTCCCTCACCGACAAGAAGGGACAAATCAATATCACCTGCAGAGTCAGAGCCACGAACGGCTCCAGCACAGGAAATTATCCAGCTAGCAGAGTCAACAAATATATGTAACTCATATGTAACTCATATTATGAAATTCATATATAATTCATATGACGTGCACATGTGTTTGCAGTACAAACGTGGACAAAACTTGCCAGGCCACCCCGTACGTGCGCGCTTCTGCTGCAATGTGCAAGGCAGGCCTCAGGACCATTTCCGCTCACTGGAAGGAGACAGAAACAGTACACAGAAATTGTGCCAAAATGTGTAAATCTGTACAGTTTGTAAACTGTATACAGTTTGTGCATCGTGCTGGATTGTCTGACAGATTTGTGGAAGAGCACCAAGTCTATTGTTGTTCCTGTTCATAGAAAGACTCCTCAAGGATACAAGTGCATTGGAACTTGAAACTGCAAATGACAAGGAAAGCTCTCACATATATTATACATTGGAATTGTTCAATAATTTATTTTTGGTCGGCTAAAATAAAACTCTTGGGGTTTTCAGAAATATGGCATGGCTATTTGTGAGCAGTACTCGGAGGCCCAAACCCACTGCCAACTGACCGACCAACAACGATGATGTCCTGCATGAAATCAAAATTCTGAAGACTTCGATTTGACAAAAATACATAATATTTCATACATACACATATCCGCAAAACCCAAACCCTGAAATGTCAACATGCCTCAGTTGGAAACTCCAGCACCTGCACAGTGTCAGCTTTGACATCAAGTGGACAATCCAAAACGGTGGTGCTGCAAACAAGCTCCTTTGTTGCAGCCGTGCAGCTTGCAATCACGAAAAACAAAACGGTTGAATCATGAAGCTTGCCAAAGTGTTGGAATTTAATTTTAGCAACCCTCATATTCCTTGCATCCCCAGAGAGTATTTTGACTTTTTTCGTTTAGCGGTCTTCCAAGCCATGGTGCGTTCATGGACCTTGTTATGGCGCGTTGTGGAATTCAAGCCCTTCAAACCTTTTTGTAAGTATTTGAGCTTTCAGCGGTGTGGACAAGGTGTTCCAAGGTGGGGCAATTCGCATGTAGCAGAGCTATTCAGCCTTCGACACATAGCGCAGGCAAGCGCAAAGCCAACAGAGCCTGTTGAATCCTGTCTTCAGGTTCTCTGCGGCCGGAATGCAAGGCAGGAAGCCGTACCACACGGCACCACGATGCACCATATGCCGCACCACACTGCACCAGGCCGTACCACACGACACCACATTACATGACATGTATATAGTTGTGGTTTCTTTGTGTGGGTTGTTGTTCGATTTGTTTTCTTCGATCTGTCACTACCCAATCCCTAGTGTCAAGCTCACAATGTGTATACATGGTCATAACATGTCACAACCCATCCTCTTGCTGCTCCGAAGTGTATCTATTAGATCTATTAGGAAAACTAGTAGTAATATGTAGTAAGCAGTGGTAGTGGTGGACGTGGGTCGTGATAGTTGGATGCTACGAACACCGCAGGAAAACAGGGGATCTCGTTTGCACAATTTGTCTCAAACACTTGATTTGCGTTTGTGCCCCATCATAACGGGACTTCAACCCCTATTCTTCAACCACATAAATCAAGGCAAAGAATGCGGATATTTCCAGGTCAGAAGCAAGTTGAGTTTTTTTTCCGGGTAAATTTAATGGACATTCTTCATCCCTTCCGTGAAGGCTTCTGCCATGCTTCCAGCGACTGCAGTGCCAATTTCCACAATGTGTAGTTTTCGTCTACCGTAAAAATCCGTAAATTACTTTTAAAAGAACTCGCCAGGTGCCTCCGTCGCAAACCGGAAAGCCAGGCGTGCATTCGCGATCACGGACATTTCGTCAGCCTGAAGTCCACAGTCCAAAAGAACAAAAAATGAAGATTTAAAAAGTGCGAAAAGGTTTGTTTAAATGTGTTGAAAGTCTAAGTCATTCTAAGATTTTTGCTTGACCACCGGGGCATATTCCATACCCGGGATATTCAACTGCCAGCACATTGACCTGTCCAAGCAGTGAAACAATTTCAAACTTGACAGTTTCTCTGTTGCAAAATCACAAAATGAGAACCTGGAATTGCATGCGAAGCATGTTGCAAAAATTGTAGCAACGTCCAAGGTCCTGCAAGACAAAAGGTGTGGTTCGACCACTTCACCACCGCAAGCTACCCTCATGAGAGCTAACACGTGCAACCTGACATTGACTGTCTTTACTGTAAACACCAAAAGCGTTTCTCGCCAGTCGCAGCATTTGATATATAATTAATGAAATTTGAAAATTGTTCCAACATTGGTAACGGACTATGATAGATTGTGTGATAAAACAAATAACAACCGCATGACCGCCCACTGTTCAGACGATGTGGTACCAGCATTATTTTCTACTCCCACGCATGCCCTTCATCATTGTGAGTGTCATCTTTGCTGCCATCGCCAAATGGTAGGGGAAAACAGCGACACCAACATACATTGCAATCATGCAAACCTGAAAAAAAATGCTAAACCACATGCGTTTTTGTCCTCGGCATTGCTGTGCAGGTATAGCATCATGAATCGGGCTGAATTGGACGTCAAGAACAGGCATGGAACGTTGGCCTTGCAAATCGTGACAATTTTGACCCAGCAAAGCAACCATTGTCGTGATCATCGTGATCAAAAATTGAAATTGCGCGCAAACCTCCACATTTGGATCATCAGGGTCCAAGGTCCTTGGCAACCAAATTAGCTCCTCGCGAGGCTGGATTGGCATTGGCGAATTTTGAAAACATGAATGGGTTAAAATGGTTAAAGTTTCGTTAAAGTGGCACTGCTCAGTAAATGGTACCATGCCTCCTCGGGAAATGTGTCCAAATCGTAGCTGGAGTCTGGTGCTGGAAAAAGGAGGGTGTTGACCTTGGCATCAAATTGTCTGCCTTTGATTTCTGGTCCCGAAGTGCCCATCTAAGCTGCACACAATATTAAACCCTCCAGCCATGTGCCTTGCATGCACACCCAATGGCAAACAGGACGGCATGTCTCTTCAATGTTCAACGAATTGTGTGAGCGTATCTAGTTCAAAACGGCACTCAGTTCCGCACCTCTTTTAAATTTTGCCTTTGCAGTACATGCCTTGGGCACAAATTCAGTGGAAAAAATCATAACGAAATCGATCTGAGCGACCCACAATGCTGCATGTTTGGCACAAATGATCCTGCAGGACTCACTGGCCAACGGTTTTTGCATCAAGCAGAAATGATCGATAAATGAACATAGCCAACCACACCTCCTGCTACAGCACGAAGCGAATTGCATTCCGATACAGCAAACGTCCGGTTTTTACTGCACAAATTGTATCAAATTGTCATATTTGTGCAATCATGTTAATTTTCCTGATCAATGCACTGGATCAACCAGAATTCACAACGTTCACAGTCCATGTTTAATAAATATTTGCGAATATTTTTGCGGGATTCTGGAACTGATATTTTTTGACATTGCTGGACACAAAACAGCAACTTCTATTGCATCACAAAATGTATAGGGAACAAACAGCCCACGTCCCTCATAATAAATTTAATCAAAATAAGGCACTGATCAGTGACATGAAATTTCATTCCTGACACGGTTCAAGACACGCCATTGCCTTGAACAATTTGGTGACAATTCATGCCAACAAAACGATGCCACACAATTGTCCAAGCATCAAACCCTGCACAGTGGACATCACATCGGCGACGAATGCTATTTTAGTCGCCGTTTTTGGTTTGCGGTTGCGATTCTACATTGCGCATTGAAATTCGTATTGGTTTATCCGAATTCGACATCCAAACGTTCAAAATGCATGCGCAAATACAAAGAAATGTTTACAATTTGCAACAACAAAACCCAAATTCAAAACCTCTTGGATTTGTTTTGAACGTCCGTCCTTCCATCGAAATTACCAAACACATCCTATTTGCCCTTGCAATGAAAACGCATATTTGCATCGTGAAACAAACACCTGTTCTTGACACTTTGTACGAACTTTCCGCATTGTTGGAACACACATCTTCATTATTCCTGTTTTGAAACCATGTGCAAACACTGTATATATCCAAATTCTGGCATTTGCCACCGAGTTGGGTTTTGTCTGCATTGTTTTGCAGCATTGAAAAAATGATTAGTTGAAACACATGAAATGCAAAAATGTGTTTCATCAAAAATGCCTATCCATTCAATTGTATGACGTGTTTTGAAAACACCACAAAATCACAAAGAATACCTGCATTCATTATTACAGGTCAGTTGCCAGCGCCACGCTCCAGAGTCCCATAACATAAAGGGAAGTTGTTGATCAACACCCACGTACGTAAAACCACGTATTGACAAAAAAGGACGCAGTTGAAAAACTTCGAACGTCGACTTCCACGCCAAAACCAAAAATGAAAAACCGTTCACGCAAAAAACGTTGGATCTCCAAAACAGTTTGGTGCCAAAAACACGATTGGATGACATGCGCACTGAAAAACAAAACTCGTGGCATCACTCGGACAACGCATCCTTTTTTTCACCATGCTGTGGGGAACAATCGACCAAGTTGTTTGGTTGGAATGGCTTTCCAACTCGAGGCAAAAGGGTGTGGTCAAACGGACCAAAGAGGAAAAGGTCAGACAGACCTGAGGAAACCGGGTGGGATAAAGACAGGGTGGGTATTTTGGTTTCCTCATAAAAATTGCGGTCCCACCCACCCACACCTTGATAGGACATGTTGCAGACACAACATATATTGATGCGAGATTCTTCATAAAAATTAAATGACTCAAACAAACTTCAACTCTCGAAACGAGGTTTGGGTCAAGAGGAAAAAACACATCACAGCAGCTGAAACAGATTTCAATGCAGATGCGTTTGGATTTAAATTTGGTTTGTTCAAAGGGTTTACCAAAAGTGCAAAAACACCAACGCGGAGATGCAACTTTTGCTTGAGAAAACAAGCGCCTCAGATATGAACAGATACTACACCTGCTATGTCACATGGCTGAGTGCTCCACAACGCAAATTGGATGTACTGCTGACAGCATTAACATGAAGCACCCCGCCTTGCTTGCTGTTACTTTAGTTCAACAGCACAGAGTTGAAATGGTAAATCCCTAAGGAAAATTCTGAATTCCAAGGTGTCTGGGTACTGCCGCAGGGACGCAGTTTGTAGCGTGCCTCTACTTGATGGACTCCTTTGGAGTCACTGTCAGATTCACCTTTTGAAACTGCTATGGCTATGTCTCTGCATCGTCCTCCATCTGCTCGGATTCTGAAGTTTCTACATTGCCATGATGCATAACCATCCAGGCTTCTGGATCACTGACTTCGCAAAGTTCAGAGTTTCCATACTTGAAGGTGGCGGTGGTGGTGGTTGTTCTTGTTGTGTTGTTGTTCTGTCTTGTGGTTGTTGTCCTTCTTCTGCTTTTTCTTCTTCTTTTTGCCGTTCTCGCTTGTATCCACTACCGTTGAAACATGTCGCTGCGTCCACCGCTGCATGTTTCAACTTTTCATTCGCGGACGGTTGTTTCAATGTTTGGTCGCCTTTGTCACCTATTTGTCCATGCGCTATCCAGCTTACAAGTGCCGAACGCCCAGTGTATGACTCTACGTTCTCTAGTTCCTTGTCTTCGCGCAGCGCGCGAAAAACACAGGTTCGCAGCAGAAAAAAAAACATCGGAACGGAAAAAAACACGTTTGGCAGCAGGAAAAAAACGCCTTGCAGCGGGAAAAAGTTGTTTCCGCAGCGGGAAAAAACGCCAGCAAAAAATGCCGCTTCGCAGCGGGAAAAATTCAAAGCAGCAGAAAAAGCACCTTGCAGCAGCACAAAAGCACCTTTGCAGCAGAAAAAATGCATTTTGGAGGCAGCGGGAAAAAACCGTCCGAAGCAAGAAGAAAACTGGCCGAGGCAGGAAAAAAAAAACAGCAACAGAAAAAGTCCAGCTTTGCAACCCAAAAAGTTGCCGCAACGGAAAAAATACATTTCCGCAACGGGAAAAAGCAGCAGCCCATCCAACTTCATTTACAAGGATGTGATTCAACCTTGGAAGATGGCTGTAACCTCTTCATTTTGCTTTTCACCTTGCGCGTTGGAGTTGGAATGGTTTGGTTTTTCAATTTGTTTGCAAGAGTTGCAGAGAGCCCTCAAGACAATGACACTCCTGTTTTGGAGGAACCAACTATGAACGAGATCAATGATGACGAAGATGGGTCAATCAGAATGTCCCACATTGGTGCTGCAATCATCGCTGCCAACAGCGAGTTTCCTTCGAGCAATGTTGCAAGCTCGAGCACGAGCATTCGAGATCCAATTGAGATGCCTGTTTTGAGAGACGAAGGTGATTTGCCAGAGCCCTACACTGCATGGAGCCCTGAAGCAATGCTTACCTTTATGTATTCAAGGTGTTTGCGCAGAAAATCCACAGCAACTTCGTTGGAACGACAGTATGAGGAGCGACTTCAATTGCTTTGCAACGTGATGAATGCTTGCACATCTGGAGATCAATCAGTTCGATTGTCAGCAGCTGTCATGGCCAGGAACATGACAGACCTTTCAAGCGATGAGGAGTCTCCAAACTATGGCCAAAGCTGGATTCAGTTGTGCAACACCATGGATGAGGTTGAACATGCAATGGAGGTGGGTCAAAGCTTGGCAAACTCAGTGGCAATTGAACGAGCAACAACTTCAGACAGTTCTCATGTGGATTCAATTGCACGTGCCTTGATGGAAAACATTGACAATCCCCCGATGGATGAAGCTGGAGAAAGCGAGGATGAAGATTCAGACGAGATGATGGAGACAAACCTCCACCATCACCACCATTACCACCACCACCACCCGCAGCAGCATGGGCAGCATGGACAATAGGTGCAGCATGAGGAGCATGGGGAGCAGCACGTGCCATGGAACGCATACAATGACTTTCCTCCGGGCTGCTCCTTTCACCGGACAACGATGACAACCATGACGACGACAAGGACGACGACGACGACGGCGACGACGACGACCACGGCGACGACGACGACCACCACCACCACCACCATCACCACCACCACAACCACAAAAACAACAACAACAACAACAACAACAAACAACAACAACCACAACAACCACAACAACCACAACAACCACAACAACCACAACAACCACAACAACCACAACAACCACAACAACCACAACCACCACCACCACCACCACCACCACAACCACCACAACCACCACAACCACCACAACCACCACAACCACCACAACAACCACAACAACCACAACAACCACAACAACCACAACAACCACAACAACAACAACAACAACAACAACAACAACAACCACAACAACACCAACAACAACACCAAGACCAACACCAACACCAAGACCAACCACAACAACAACCACAACCACAACCACAACCACAACAACCACAACAACCACAACAACCACAACAACAACAACAACAACCACAACAACCACAACAACCACAACAACCACAACAACCACAACAACCACAACAAACACAACAAACACAACAAACACAACAACCACAACCACCACAACAACCACAACCACCACAACAACAACAACAACACCAATACCAACACCAACACCAACACCAACAACAACAACCACAACCACAACCACAACCACAACCACAACCACAACAACCACAACCACAACCACAACAACCACAACCACAACCACAACCACAACAACCACAACCACAACCACAACCACAACCGCAACCACAACCACAACCAACACAACAACAACAAGAACCAACACAACAACAACAACAACAACAACAACAAACAACAACAAACAACAACAAACAACAACAAACAACAACAAACAACAACAAACAACACCAAACAACACCAAACAACACCAAACAACACCAAACAACACCAAACAACACCAAACAACACCAAACAACAACATACAACAACAAACAACAACAAACAACAACAAACAACAACAAACAACAACAAACAACAACAAACAACAACAAACAACAACAAACAACAACAAACAACAACAAACAACCACAAACAACAACAAACAACAACAAACAACCACAAACAACAACAAACAACAACAAACAACCACAAACAACAACAAACAACAACAAACAACAACAAACAACAACCCGCGGGTTGGAAATGGGGCCCCGAGTCATAAAAAAAGCATTTCATGTGACTGGCAAGAAGTCAATCATGCGTTCGCACAGTGTTTTTCATGTTTTTGTGTTTCCTCCGGCTGGACTGATTGAGTCCATGAAGGTCAATTCTATTGTGATTTTGAATTTTCATTGGGATTTACTGTA